TTTGCTTCTCTGCCTCCAGTTTGATAGTTAACTGTAAGAACTAACCACTCCCATGTATTAAGCATACCTTCCTAATGCCCTACAACATTGCTCCGAAGTAGGCAGCTCTGCATTCTAATAATTGTGTGGCTAACTCACAATATTCTGGGAATGGGTTGACCTGTTTGTAATTCACCTTTGTATCAATAAACAAATAAAAGTAGACCAGGAATCTGTTATACTTTAATACTAAACCTCAGCAAAAATAGTGAAAAGGGAAAAGGTGTATATTCCTTGGGATTACATAATAATCACCGCACTAAATATTTTCAACTGCTTCTGCTGCACAGTATGGGAACTCTCCTTGTCAATCAGAAGAAAAATTAAAAAACAGTCCACCCACTTCTTCTACAAAAACCCTCACAGCTGCCAACAGTTATGTCTAGAGCAGAACACTAGGATATCAAGGTATGGAGACATTTGAATTATTAGAGTAGATTTAGGTGAGGGATGAATATGCTAGGGCAGTTCTTTCATTCCCTCCAAAACTATAAAGGAAAAATGTACCTGTCTGCTTAGGGAAGTCTTATTTCATAACAAATACAGGAAACAAACAAGATGCCATACATGTTTTCTCTCTCCTGAAACTAATATCTTGGTAATTAGACACACAGCAGGCTGCCCCAAACACCAATTTGTGGGTTTTCCCCTGAGTACTTAAGAGCTCATTTTGGGAAATCTATCTCCTAAGCCTCCCTGGAGGACTTTTACTCTAAAATGAGAGCTGCAATAACTTTTCTGCAGAAATTTTACATATGTTTATGGCATGTGAAAGTAAATTCAATATATTAGTGTGTGAGCATACCAATTAAATTGTACGGATAATTGTTCCAGTTGATATGTATACATTTGATCAATGATAGGTTCACATTAAACTAATTCTCTAACTGCTTAGACATGAAACCAGCTAGAGAAGTCATATCAAAACTAATGTCATTTGAAGACATTAAAAGTCAAAGCTACTTCATTAACCTGCCACCTCCAGGTTATAAAGGTAACATGGTAACCAGACTCTTCAGGTTATGCACATATCAAAAGGATCACAGGATTGAGAGTTGGAGCATCTTCTATATATATAATCTACATATATAAAAGGCTAATATGCTAAGTGTCAATGATCTGACTGGTTGCTATGGCATGCAATGACCATCAGGGGGCAGATATTCAACAAAGGAGCTGCCATGATGAGCATAGAGAAATGGCACTGCAGACCTGTCATCCACAAAGCAACACTCAGCTTCCCCCAAGTGGGCCACAGGCCCTGCCACCACCCTGGAGCTACAGCCCACCAAATTGCAGCCAACGCTGCCGAGACCCCCATGGCACAAAATATGGCCCACAGCCCAGCCCAGCCACGAAATGGTGGCTGTGGGCGCCGGATAATGATTTCATATAGAAAAGCCCGGCTTCCTCTCTCTAGCAACGACTAGCCTACTTGCAGTTTCTTCAGCCCAAGAACACGACTTTCTTCATAGCCAGGTGCAAACATTTTGAAGCATCCATCTTATATAAAAACTGCTGTTTGAAATTTTAAACCTGCTATTTTGGCTTCTGTAAACACTTGATTGCTTAAATAATAAGGAAAATAAGACTACTCCCATTCCAGAGAAGCCATAAACTATGCCCCAGACAGAGTTGTCAGTGTTGGCACCAGGACAGACCTTGAGATATGGTCTCAAGGCCCCTTCCCAGCACACAGGCCTTCTTTCTCAGAAGGTCCAGAAGTCTCATTCCAAATTTGGAAGACAAAGAACTAGAAAAAGTATAAATAGGGAAAGTTTCCTCCATGTTGGGGGGCCCAGAATTTGAAAGACACATTTTTTTCCCTGGGCCTGCACATAATTATGACAAAATGTAACTCCCCTTTCTCTAAGCATTGCTTGGTTTTTCTCCAGTCTTCTGTAACAATTTCACACTTTAACCAAATGTCTGTGAAGCATTTTCCCATGCCTCATCGCATTTGATCCTCACAGAAGTCCTGGAGTAGGTAGATAGGAGACTCGGTAGAATCCTATTTTCTTTTCATTAGCCAGAAAAACAGAGATTTAGAAAGCTTAGAAACTCTCTACCTGACTGAAAAGAAGGTGGACCTTGAAAATGACTTCAGCTTTTCTCACTGCGCAGAATATAGTCAAACACTGCTGCAGTTAAATATTTTACCCTTTGTTCTCCCTACGTGATCTACAATAATATGCTTCCTGTTGATATTTACTTCTGTCTTGCTGACAATTACCTGAAAATGAAGTTGGGATGCTTCACTGGGCTGGAAAAAGTTTAGCTAAATCAGAAAGCAGGTCTAATTAAGCAAGTTTATTCTCTATATATAAAAGGCTAAGTTGACTTGTGCATGCACGATACATACAAAGCTCTCCCTGGTGCCAGTCACACGCATGTGTATTGATCTGTCATTGTTGATCGTGAATTTGGTTGACACTTCTATTATAGAGAAAGGGCGAATGGTGATATTAAAATATTTCTTCTGCCCTAGCTGGTTTGGCTCAGTGGATAGAGTGTTGACCTACAGAGTAAAGGGTCCCAGGTTCGATTCTGGTCAAGGGCATGTACCTTGGTTGTGGGCACATCCCCAGTAGGCAGTGTACAGGAGGCAGCTGATCGATGTTTCTCTCTCATCCATGTTTCTAACTCTCTATCCCTCTCCCTTCGTCTCTGTAAAAGAATCAATAAAATATATTTTTTAAAAAAGAAATTCAATACCAAATGACTGAATTAAAAAAAAATTCTTCTAATTAATTTCCTTTCAATGTGCATGAATTCATGCACTGGGCGGGCCTCTAGTTAATAATAATGATACTATTAAATTACAACTATTAGTTACAACAGGTAACATTTATTAAGGATCTTTCAGGGATTTTATTGATGACCTATATTATTTTAGTCACATAGCAACTCAAAAACGGTATGGTCAATTTTTACCCCCATTTTGTAGGTGAGGAAATGGAGGCTTAACATGGCAAAGTGACCTCCCTGGTATCATATAGTTAGGTAAGCAGTGCCAGGAATTATATAGAAGCCACTTCAGTGTTAAGCACTGTGCCATGCTGTGCACTGTGCGATGCTGTATATAATGGAGGGATGCACAAGGGCTATAGAAGTGACAGGACAAGTATATCAGAAAGTTAGAGAACATGGGTACATTACTGGGGAATGATCATGTACATTAGAAACTATGCATATTGTGCTTTCCTTGATGTTTTATGCTCAAGAGAAAATATAATAAAATTGAGACTCCTGAGTTCAGATCCTGATCAACTATAAAATACCCCTTCCCTGCTGTTTATAGCCCTTCCCCTGTCCATGCCCTTTTCCTCCCCTCACTTTGCCAGGCAGACTTCTTAGTCTCACCAAATGAGTCCATCAAAATATGAATATTTTGCCCAGCCAGTGTGGTTCAGTGTTGAGCATCAATCTATGAACGAGGAGTTCATGGTTTGATTTCCTGTCAGGGCGTATGCCCGGATTGCAGGCTCAATCCATAGTAGGAGGTGTGCAGGAGGCAGCTGATCAATGATTCTCTCTCTCCCTTCCTCTCTGAAATCAATAAAAATATATTTTAAAGAATGAATATTTTGAGCAGCTATCACTAACCTCAGAGGAAAATAATGTCAACAAAAATAAAGTACTCTTGCCTGGCCGGTGTGGCTCAGTTGGTTGAGCGTTGTCCCTTGCACCAAGAGGTCACTGGTGCGCTTCCTGGTCAGGGCACATGCCGGGTTGTGGGCTCAATCCCCAGTAGGGGACATGCAGGAGGCAGCTGATTGATGTTTCTTTCTCACTGATGTTTCTATCTCTCTCTCCCTCTCCCTTCCTCTCTCTCATCAAAAATATATTTAAAAAAATAAAAATTAAGCACTTATTCATTAAATAATTTCTGATGCTTGTGGAATTTAAAAAAATTGTTGCTGTTGAGGTCTTTGCAAGATACCAATCAAGATTCCAGATGAGGGTCCCTGTGATGGAAACCTATATGGTTTTATTAATCCCTTGATGCTGCAGGCAATTTAAAAACAGGGATTACAGTAATGGATCATTCATTGAAAAGTTTTGGAGTGTTGTGTGGAGTTACATTTTTCTATTTTGTGAGCTTACTGGAAAATCAGTATTTAAGTCTGGTGATCAACTCAAGGCCATATCCATTAAGTGTCTTGTCAGTGCTAATTCCAGGTTGTCCGGTGGAGGCTTTCTTGACAGAAATAAGTGTAATTCTCCATTGCATCTCATCAAGTGCATGTTAAGCATGAGGGGGAAGGAGGAGGAGGGGGGGAGTTCAATTTCATTTGTTTGTTTATTCATTTTTACATAACAATTACCCACTCACTTTCAGATTACAGTCACTCCATTATATTCAGGCCAGAGCCAATATAAAGCAATGCCAAGTTTAACAGATGCAGGATTTTTCAGAAATTACAAAGGCTTGTATTGTACTTTTCTCTAACAAACAAGAAAATGAGATTATTTCCATGAAAAGCTGAAAAGTACCTAAGAATTCCTATTGAACCCCACTCAGCTATCATAAAGCATTACCTGGCTCACCAATTAAAAAAAAAAAAAAGTCTTGTCAGGCCGCTATTATTCAGACTGAAGCATTCCTCCTGCCTTCTATATTAATCTGCACAGCTCATTCAAATAACATAAGAAAGTGCAATAAATTATTAAAAACTGACAATAAAATTATCAAAATGTCACTGACAATTGTATGGCTAAATGTCACCTAGGTGAATCATACATAGACACTAATAACCAATGACACGTGAAGGCAGCCCCTCTATGACACCCCATTACCAACCCTCTTAAAATAAGGTAATAAAAAAAAACAATACAGATATTCTCCTAAAGAGATGAGTTGTCTTTAAAAAATTCATTATTCAGACTCAGGAGTTTAAAGAGTTGTCTAAAAACCCTCCAGTCACAAGCTTTGTGCATCATTCAATATGTAACACTCCAGCTGAGGGAAAAGGCGGGCGTGGAAGAGAGAACTTTCTGTTGTCATGCTGAACAGTGCTTTAGAGAAGACTGTCACTTGAGACTGTTGTCAGCAATGAAGGATTCCCAATGCGGCTGAACCCAGAATTCTGACTCTGGTATGTTTCAAGTACATCAATCTGGGAATTTTACATTACTTTTCTGTTTTCTTAAAAGTACGTAGAGAAGCCATTTAAGAATAATTGATATTGATTTCAGAATTGGTGATGAGTGTATGTTATTTCAAATATTAGAAATTTGTCTTTAAAAATAAGAAATATATGATCTGTATTTTAAGCATCAGTTTGTCTTGCATGTAAAACAAATGCTGCCTCTCCAGTTTTGACTGTTTTTAAATTCCTTTGAATATTAGTTTCATTGAAATAGTTATTCACAAATTCTACTCTAAAATTAGTTCTTGATTCAAATATATATGTAATGGAATTGCTTGTGAAAGTGCTTATTTTTGAAATGTTCTTAAGAAATTATTTTATGCAAGATATTTTAGTAAAAAATTTCAGTCAAAGTATAAAACCTGAGAAAAAATCTGAACTTAAAATATATCTCATATCATTAAATGTTAAAATAAACAAGTAATACAACTATGAAATTAACTGACTTAAGCCAGAGACAAAAGGTTTTCAACATGCCATCTTTATTTTCTCATGGTTTTAAAGGTGATAAGAAAATTAACTTTGTCCTATTCTGAAAACTTTATTTTTATTTCTTTGTTTAAAAATGTCAACTGCTTCCCTTTGGGAATGAGAGGTTTAATTTCGAATCATGTATTCAAAGTTAGATATGGATAATCACTGGTATGGAAATGTGTCCTTTTCTTTTAAAAATAAGTATTTAAAATATTTCTTATATATTACTTAAAACAGAAAAATCAGTGAGCAGGAAGATATACGCATATTTATTCTCTATAAGTTACTTCCACTAAGAGGATTTCTAAAGCTCATATATTTTTTAAAAATGTTTATTTCAGTGAGAACCCAATAGGAAACCAGTGTATGCCCCACCATAGATGGTTCTATTTATAAAGGCTTGGCTTTAGTTTTCATTAGGCAAACCAGAAAACCTTTGCATTGGAATAGATAAAAATGATAGTAGAGAGAACAATATAAGTTTAAAATACAGTACTTAGTACAATGCTTATTACATTACAGAAATTCAATCAATATATTTTCTCTCTTTTTAGTTCCCATTTAATGTTTTAAGAGAATTTTTATTCTTTCTACGCATATATGTTTTATTAGATGGTATCCATAGTCACACTTGATCCAGTTATGTAGGTCAGGTAATTCGGGTGTTTTGGATCCAGTCTGAAGTCGTCAATGAATTTTCTATCTTCTTTGCAATCCCATTGATAGTTTTGCCCAGTGAACTATCTCTTTTCATGTGATATTCCAAATGTGCAAAATGAATGATTTCCCTTAAATAAAACAACTAAAATCAGTTTGAGAAAAATTCACATCACAGGCAAAGTGTCTGATAAGTCATCCAGATCCATTCAGTGTTTGAACCTTCTTGAGAGAAAAATACCATTTTTCGTAGTTCTACCTGATTTTAGCTGAATTAATACCCAGCCATCAGTATGAAAGTAACTTTACATTTGAGGACTCTCTTCAGAGAAAATATGTGCTATAAAATTATACTGAATGTTTATAAGAAAAATGTATGTTTTAGAATGTTAAAAGCAAACTTAAAACCAGAACTATCACAAATTATGAGATTAAAATATTTTAAAACTTATTTTTGAACCAATTTTCGTCATGGTAGATTAATTTCAGTGATATTTAAGTTTCAAATCTCACATTCTAAGAAATTTATGCTATGGCAACTTTTAAAGTATGTATGGTTTGGTTTCAAACAGATACTTTACAACAGTGGTTGTCAACTGTGAATGTCAGAATCATCGGTAGGGCTTATTTCACTTAGCAAAATACTCTCCAGGTCCATCTCTAACAAATTCTCAGATGATGTTGATGCTTCATGCTGCTGGTGCTGGTGCCACATTTGAGAATCACTGCCTTAAAATCCCCCTGAATGTCTCCATTGTACTCTGCATTTTGAGAGACTCCCATGTGACAAAATCTATACTCGGTCTCGATATGTATTGATGAATGAAACAGGCCAAGTCCCTACTCTTGCACTGCTCATAGTCCAGTGGAGGAGGCATAAAATAAATAAGTAAACCAACACATAAATCTTTTATTTGCCAGTTGTCAATAAATTTGTCATGAAGTAGTGGAAGAGGAGGCTAGTCAGGGTGATCAAGGAAGCGGCCTCTGAAAAATGAGAAGTCAGCCGAGGGAAGAGTGGGAGAAAGAGGCATTCCAGGCGTGGCGTGTGTCCTGTGAGAGCCCAGGGGTGGAAAGAGCTTGGTGTATTTGAGAAACTGATGTGTGGCCTGTGTGGCAGGAACACAGAGACCCACCACCAGGATGGCTGAAATGAGAGGAGAGAGAGAGGTAAGCAAGCACAATGTTGCAGGGGGACTATGATGGGGAGTTTGCATTTCATTCTAAGTTTAAAGGATTTTGAATAGGTTTTTGTTTTTATAAGATCACTCTGTACATGAGAGTGCAGGACCAGTGGTAGAAGATGGATGGCTTTACAGCAGTTCAGCTGAAAAAAATGATGGTGGTTTAGCCAGGAATAGTGCAGTTGAGTTGGATATATCAGTTTCCAACATCAAAATGTGGGAAATCACTTGGCTATCTAACCACAGAGGTAGCAGTTATTTAAAAGTAACAGTGGGGTTGATTAAAATGATATGGGGAACATGGCATGTCAAGGAAGTGGGAAAAATAAAGAAAATAGCAAAGTTATAATTGTGTGTGTGTGTGCGTGAGTGACAGAGAGAAGGAAGAGAGCAATTATAGTGGTAGTTTTATAGGTGGATTTTTATTTCCCTTTTTATATTGCAACTAGAGGCCCAG